ATGGTGAGAAAGTTCGATTGCTTCTTTTACCTATCAAAAGTGTGAACAATCGCGAGGGGTGACGGGTATAGATTTCTTTACATCCTTCGTTTTCAATCTACAAGCCAAAAGTTACAGGCACGTCACTATAACCAATTTGACGCCTTGCGTACTGGATGGCACGGCATAGCATAGCCATAGCCATAGCGTGGCATAGCGTGGCATAGCGTGGCACTGCGTGGCATAGCAGCTGTATTCGCCGGTCAGCTTCCACACAGTGGTAGAGTGTCTGAGATTATGCCAAAAGGCTTCAGCCCCGACTCCTGTTGCGAGAGATGGAGAACTAGGACCATTTGTTGAGTATCTGATACAGTTACTCACGCGTAAAATTACTATCCAAAATTTCTACTGTCACGTCTGAGGTGTAGTTAGTAACTTTAATCTAATTTGATCTCTCCTCAGTTCTTCTCCAAGCCCAAAACTTGTGACGTCGTCAATCCATTCGTTCATTTTTTTGAGCTGGCGGCTCTAACTTGGTTGCTGATGGAGGCATTGTACTACTACTCGACCCTGAAACCGCTGTTCAACGAGAAAAACACCGTACCCATTGTGTTTTACTTCGCTGTGGGGTGGGGTGAGTCAGTGCAACTATCCCATATATTTTCATGCCAGACGCATCATTATAAACAGTGAACGTGTGAATATTTTGTGGAAGAGTTGCTTTGTGTTTGGAACCTAGCCTTACTTCTGTGAGAAACCTTACGCTTTATGTTATGCTCATATGAGAAATCTTCGGAAGACACTAATTGCCAATAAGGTTTTTCAATTTTTTGAAGGTCTTTAACATTTATATACTGCCCTTTAAATGATTTATCACGTAGTTGCTTGATGGAGATATCTATGTAGAAGCTGATTAGTTTATTAGAAGTTATTTTTTGTCTTTTTCATATTTCTCAAACCATCAGGTTTACCCGTAGCGTTTGCAAGCGCATGCGCAGAGTATGCCTATCCTCACTTTGGCACTCCAGAGAAGAGCGAGTTGTAAGTTGATAGACAGCTTACTGTTAACAAACAAATAAAAGAACGAACAAAGAAACAAAGAACCAAATAAACATACAAACATGCAAATAAACAAACAAACAAGCAAAGCAAACAGACAAATAAACAGACAAACATGTAAAAAAGAAACAAACAAAACAAACAAACAAACATGCAAACAAACAAGCTAACGAAGAAAAACAAACAGCAACACTGAACGAAAACAACCAAACAAATCAATAAACAAACAGGACACTAGATTCTCTAAGGAAACAAATGTGCATGTACACGGTAACCAGGCATTTAAATTGTAAATGTTCCTCATGTAGCAGGAGCATGCAGTTTAATATATTGGTTTGTTCAAAGATTTTTTTAAATAATGACTTCAAAACTGCATTTTCCTGATCTTTAACCATAATTAGTCATGACGAGAGCTTTCTAGTTGTGGTTCACATAAATACCGTGAACAAAATATGTTTAATTTGGGTATCGTCATGCATTTTGGGTGTAATAAAATTGTAATAAATAATAATATGATTTTCTTTTGTTTGATTGGCCACAGCTGCTGGATGTTTATTGGTGGAGGTGAGGCCTGGTTCTTTGGAGGACCTGTCTTGATTCTTGTACTGGTAGGTCCATAGATTCTGATCAAAAACTTTTTTTCGTTATGATACCAAGAAGACAGAGTAAAGAAATCATCAACCAGAGGATATTGTCTTGAAGTCACCAGTGGTAGAGACCCCATGAGGTCCGATCCAAGATCTTAGCTGTCTCGTACAATTACCTCCAGAATTAGGTTTTGATGTATTTTTAATCATATACTTTGCTGCCCATCATTTCTACAGACGTATTCGGTTATTTTGGGCAGCTAGTGCCCAATTGAAATTTCCTTTTTCCCGAGTGGTACAAATAAATGTTGTTTTTGTAGCTATTTATTGTATTGTCTGATCAATGCGATATTTTTTTAGCTGAATCTTCTCGCCCGAGTATTTGTCGTGAAAGAGATTGTTTGCTGGCAGGATGACCCCGATGATATCAGGATCGAAAGGGCCAAGTAAGTAGTAATAAGTTAATAATAACAACAGAAGATCAATAAATTATACGAATCTCATTATTTTCTTTTGTAGTATACCTAGCTATCCGGAGCTACCTTGTATTCCGTGAATCTTGGAAAACTTACCCGAAATTTCCTTCTCTCCCTCATCATCCAAGCATACAGTCTGTGTTATTCTTTCCTATAATCTTAGTCATCTTGGTTTTCTACTATAGTAATCCATCAGCCTGATGTCTCTTTAAGTTCGTAGAATTTATTTATTGAAACGAGGAGCACAATTTGCACAGTTTAGGCCACTACTGTAAGCTAATTTCTTTGATCTGATTTGGCAGAACTCGTCTGATGACGTCATCAGCGATGATGGCGGTGATTGTGTTGACGTGGCTGTTTGGTGTCCTGGCAGTGAATCACACCGAGGACAAAATCTATCACTACATCTTCATAGTGTTCTACACATTCCAGGTTAGCAGACTTCTCGTGAAAAGACGTCTTCTTAGATTGGGTGGAGAAGGGAAGGGTGGTAGAACTCTTAAAGAAGTATTACGTAGCCTATAAAGATGACCTGTGTTTATAATAATCCTGATGAATTTTATTTACGTTGAAGGGTCTTCTTGTCCTGCTCTTCTACTGCATTCGCAACCAAGAGGTAAGCTATGTTTTTGTTTGGCACATAAGTCCCCAGAGATTTTCGGGAGCGGGTAGCTAACATCATCTTTTAATTTCACAGAGCAATGTAATGATTTTTTGTGGTAGAGACCAAGAGAATGACTTTATGAGAAGGCTGGCACAGAAAACATGTTTTAAAACTGAACCCGTACTTACATACGTACATCGCGTTGATCATGTTCAGATGAATATGTTTCTCTTATTATTGTAGATGTGGGACTATCGTAAGGATAAGAGGGACGAAGAAGAAAGAGAAAAGGTACAAAAAACTTATAAATGTTACTACTGTTTTGAACAAAGCCACGTCATTACCACGGTTAATTTGTTTGTTGTTTTACCAATTGATTGGTTGGTTGATGTTAAAGATTTTCGTGTATACATTTTAAATGATAGCAGTGTAGACTAAAAGCTGTATCAATTAACTCATTTTAGCTAACTTATCCTCAATTGCGATTTGCGACACACAATCAGTTGTATTTCTGTGAATACTGTCAATAAAAAATACGTGAACCAAACAATTGAACCCGAATTGATTTCCTCTTAATTAAATCACATTGGTCATTTTCTCTTTCAGAACAAAACCTACGACTTCGTGTACCACCCATGAAAGCGACAGGAGCTTCGTGTTACGTCTAATATGCTTACAATAATTAATAATAATTAGAATAGCTCACCTGAAGCAGAATGCACGTTGCTAAGACTCACTAGTTTTCTAGGCCAAACAATAAAAAACAACAAAACCAAAAAAAAAACAGAAAGCTAAGCTATAGAGTGGTAATTTTGCTTAAACCTGAGATTGCTTAGGTAGGTACTTACGAGAACTACTGTCGAACCTCCAAATGCAAACGCCAGATTTTAACGGATTATACGTGGGCACCTCACTTACTGGGACTCCCTTTCTGGTCCCAAAGGCGTCTGCTTACGGGAGGCCCGACTGTATTTGAGAGATCGATGATTAGATAACCAGCTCTGTTGAATGAGAATTTAACTTACTTCTCCATGATATTCACGTTTTATAGCATATGTTCGATCGGACATTAACTGAACACACTGATTTCATAATGTTAATTATGTGAGTAAGTCTTTAAAGAAGGACAAGATTTACATATAAGATAAGATAAGATAAGAAAAGAACTTTATTAACGTGTTGAAGTCGTTAGCATACAATGTATACTAACTGGGGACACCTATATAGTTTAATAAACTTAAAGCCTAGGAATAAAACGGCCTTGGAACAGTGGCAATTTATGATAATCTCTCCGGATCAGTTAAAAACAGAGGGATGTACGTAGGCGAAGACCTTGGCCAATCTATCAATATCAGATCCACTGATGACTACAGCCAGCCTCGCTTTGGAAAACCTGACAGTGAGGTTGAACTATTGTCCTTAACACAGAACTCTCCCCAGGTCTCCTGAGTCTTCTGAGTCTTCTGGTCATTCTCTTGACCTGGGAAAATGGCGAGCAGAGCGTAAAAGCCGTGACGTAACGGGCAGGGGGTAAGACTCGGCGAAGAGCTGGTACGGGTATCCATTTACATGTAGTCATCTGTGCTGCCTGCGGATCTATTTTCTTGGCACTTCTTTTTAAAAACGGAACTTAACATACATCAAATTGTAAATGGCGTATCATGTTTTCATGGACAGACTATTTCAGTCTGGAGTTTCATAGCTTTCCTCTGTAGCATCCACATAAAATAACTTGTTTCAGGCTTAAAGTTCAACAAACACATTGATTTTATTGCTATCGTTTAACTTAATCACTTTTATACGATATAATACAATGCAATAAAAAACAGAAGCGTTAAGTGAAGCTTGGGACAGATCAGATGGTTATTAACTCAGCTGATAAAAACATCATGACCATATTTCCTGCTGGTCCCATGTCGCATCAAGTCGGGGCTCATGGCTTTGTCATATAAAGAAGTCTCTCGCTCACCGTTGTCTTTTCTAATCCCACTCTCGACAGGAATTTACGTGAGAAAGTTTGTGAATTCCCTGCATATCTATCTACCAGCCACAATATTTCGATCGAGACATGGTGGTACTTTACAAAATGCAAGGCACATTTTGTCGGGCTCCTTTTCGAATGGTCTATCGATATGACAATCTATGAGAAACAAAACACAAACCGCGGTGATAAACATGGAACCAAAACGCATGTTAAACAAAGTTAATTTCCTTGACGTTTCGTATGTACAACATACATCTTC